TGTAAATTTTTACTTTGAAAACTTGTCATTTACTTTCTTGCACTAAAATTTCATTTAGTTAATCAAAAATATTTTTGCATCACAAAAATTTGCTTGTTGGGTAGCTTGTATGTTTGACACTATCCAAGGATTTAAAAAAAAAAAAAGCAAAAAAAAAAAATAGGTTTGTAAATGCATAAGGTTTTTCTATTATTTTTTTTTTTTATTTCTTAAATTTAATTTATTGGGGAATACTTAAAAACAGAACAAGGTCATAAAGATCCACATGGTCAAGTCCCGACTGGTCCGGATAAGCTGTTCAAGGATGAAGAATTGATATCTTTAATAGATCCAATTCTGGCAATGGATGATACCAACAAAGATGGCTACATCGACTATCCTGAGTTCATAAAAGCTCAGCAAAAAGCTGCTGCTAAAGCTGACTGAGCTTTAAAAGAATGATTCAGGTGAAGGCCTAATAAGTCTAAAGCATCTTTCTGCTTTTGAAATTTGGTTTATAGCTTTTTTTTTTTCATTTCATAACATGTCTTCATAACATCTTATTGGCATCATTACCTAATATTAAATTTTTTTTTTTTTCTACTAACATTTTAGGGCAGGTGCTTTAATAACTTTTTCACTGCAACTAAATAAAGTAATTACACTCCTAGTCTATTTTTTGTAACAGTGAGTAACCTTTTTTTTTTTTTCTTTTCAGCCGAAAATGAAGAAGGGGATAAACACGAAATCAAAATTCAAACAGATCATGATTTAGAAACAATGATCGATCCAATTCTAAAAGAAATGGATGCCAATAATGATGGATATGTTGATTATGCAGAGTTTAAAAAAGCTTCCTAAGAAAAAAATACAGTAAATAAACAATTATTTTAAGTGAGAGAAAAAAAATTAGTATGGGGTATTATTACAATTATCACAAATATAATAAATTTTAATCAATAAATTGTTAATCGAGTATTAAATAATGAATTCAATCAAATATTAAACATGGAGAGAATTTATTTATTTTTTTTTGCTATTAGTTTTTAATTAAATTTTATTTTGGAGCAGTTAAGTGGCGAGAAAAACTTGAATTAAAATTTTTTTTTTTATTTTTACCACATATACAATTTTTATGAATATTTGTTATAAATTATTTATTGTTTAATTACAAAAATAAAATTTAAAAAAAAAAAAAAAACAATAAAGAAAATTTTTTATTCGGTTAAGACTTTTGATTAATCATTAATTCTTGACGGTTAAAAAAAAAAAGTTTTATTTTATTTATTGTAAAAAAAATGATAAATATTGATCAAATTATATTTAAAATATTTTAAATTTAAAAAATTTATAAATATTGTTAATTGTTTATTATTATTATTATTATTTATTTTTACTTAAATAATTAAATGGTATTTAATTTTTTTGAATAATTTATCAAAAGGGTTAATTTATTATTTATATAAAGTTTATTAGTTTAGTTTTGGGGGAAAAAAATTGGGATAAGTAAAAATATATTCTTATTATTTAGTGAGATAATTATAATTATTTAAATTATTTTTATAAAAAAATATAAAATGTTTAGAAAAAAAAACGTTTTAATAAATGGTGGAGTTTAAATTCTTTGGCCGGCATTTATATTCGCCGACGCGAATCATTAAACGAACGACATGCGCTTTAATTGCTCAAAAATTTTTTATACAAAGAATTTATATATATATATGTGCAACAGATCTTATATTATATAAAAAATATGGTGAAACATTTTGTTTAAGTGCCAAATATCATATGTGTCAAAAACTTTATTACACTGCCAGACATCTGACAAGTGTAATGGATCAAAAACTTATGTACGCGTTTAGAGGATGGATTGGTTTTGTTGCATTCATGGACATGGGTACAGCAATTAGATGCTTTATAGAAAAACGGTCGTTTTTTGGACCGCAAGCTTATTCAAATGCAATAGAATTGCAATTTAATAAAATTGGTAATTTTATAAAAGATAATTTTTTTTTTAATAAGACGGAAAAAATTTTATCTTGATTTTGCTTACAGCTGATCCAACATTACCCAGAGCATTAGGGTATTATTGCATTTTAAAAGCTTTAGTATTAACACACTGTACCTTATTTATTCATTATAAACCGTAAGTTTATTATTATTATTATTATTATTATTATTATTTATTTTAATATTTGTCCTATTATAATTCATTTCTAATTTTTTTGCAGAGTCGTCAATTTGGGTATTTGCTCTTTAATAATGGCATTATTTATGTATTTAACTGAAGTTTTTTATTATCATTCAACAAGTTTGAATTTTTACATAGCTTTTCCTTGTTTATTAAACAGTAAGTATTTACATCGTGTAGTTCGGCTAATTTTAAAGGAGTTATTTTTCTAATAATTTGTTTTAATTTCTATGTTTGTATTTAGTATTAACACTTGTCGGTTTATTAGCATTACCAAGACAATTGTGGGAGCCTTTAATAATAAACGAGGACGAAAATGTGGAGCTTTTACGGCAAGCAACTGCAATCAAACGACGAAGACATGTAAAAAAAACTAATTGAAAATGATTTTCTATTAGATAATTTAAGCACAAATTAGTTTTAAGAAAAATAATTTTGTAATATTTTATACCAATAAAGTTTTTCTAATTTTATTTTATTTCTTTTTTTATTTACCCTAAACTTTTCATACAACTATCATCATACATTACTAAAAGTTTTACTCGTTGATAATTTGCAGCAATGGTATTGATTTTTTTTTCATTTTAGCATAGAGGTTATTAAAATTTTATTTTAAGGGCTTTAATAAAAGGCGGTGTATTTTTAATTTTAATGGTAAGGTAACTTTATTATGCCGACAATAGATTTAAAACTAATTTATTTCTTTATAAAAAAAGGATATGGCATCAAATTAAATTGTAATGTTGCTAGTAAAATTATATCTTGGAACTTTTTTTTTACACTTTATAAGATTTAATTGATGTAAATTTGCCTAAATTTATATAACGAAAACTTAACAACTTTTTTGTTTACATGCTGAAAGTATCTAATGTTTCTAGTATGCTAATCTATCTTGTAGTTTTTAAGTAAACGTTAATTTATATTAAGGTTTTAAATAGTAATTTTTAGTAAAATAAGAGGACACTTTGTTTTTTTTTTTTTAGAAATAAATGGCCTATCATTTAATTGATAACGTACACTCAAAATCATTGACGCCCAAAGAACCAAACGTTGAGTTATTGGATGCGTCATGCGTGCGAAATATCATTGTTTGCCTGGGCAATAACATTGGCAAAACATTTATCGCTAGTAAATTGATTCAAAACACAAGTAATAATATATCTGTGAACAATGGAACGATCACTCTTTATGTTGCTGATTCCTCAGTTGTGGTATCCAGAAAAGCAGCTTATTTTCAAAGACTCACTAATATGTTGGTGGCCGAGTACCATAAAGGAAATTGCAATAAAATAAAAAAGATAAAAAAGATACCAAAATTAGATCAAATTGTAGTCGCAGAAACAGAAACAGCAAATTATATGCTAGAAAATGAATTGATTGTAATGTCTGATATTAATTTATTGATATTACATGATTGTCATTGCGTTTTAAAAAATGGCATAGTTCCTCAAAAAGAGGTAATATATTTAAGAAATTAGTCAATTATTATTATTTATGTTTTTCTTTTCTAATTATTCGCACTCATTATAATCAAAAACTTTTCTTATAGCTTATGAAATTTTATTATAATTCTTCTACAAAACCTCATATTCTTAGTTTAGCCAGTTCATTATTTTCTTCAAATTTAGATCTCAGTCAAATTAAATCATGCCTAAATAAAATGGAGGATATATTAAATTGTAAAGCAGAAACTGCCAGTAATGTGCTCTCTTTGCTAAGATATGGGACCCATCCACATGAAGTTTTAATTGAATATGGACTACATATACCATCTTCAATTGATGAAATAATTGAAGGAGAAATTTTAAAAGCCATTCAATTTATAAAAGATCATCGATATGATCCTTTAGAAATGTATGAGAGTTTTACAGAGGAGTTACAAGACATTCCCGATCCTAAGAAAGAACCGGAAGAAATTTTTTTAGAGCTGCTAAATGTTTTACACACCCTAGGTAATCAAGAACTTTTCCACATTTTGAATTTTGTTTCTCATGATTCTTTACAATCAGTTAAAATATTTATTTGAAATTAAAAGTCATAGTTAATTATTAATTTTAAACTGACTGTTTTTATAATGTACTGTTCATACAGGGCCTTGGAGTACTGATAGAGCTGCACTAGTATTGCTTCTTCAAATTGAAAAGTTAAAAGTAACCACACCTTATGAGAGACATTTTTTGCTACTTTGTATGGCATCTACAGTTCTGGTCAAAATTCGTGCCATTTTAGACGATTTTTTTAAAGATATTGATGAAAAAGAAAGAATTTATAAATACTCTTCACCTAAAATTTTAAGGGTTATAGAAATTCTTAGAAAATTTGTACCAGAAAAATTAGATGTCAAATTGGATGATAATTTAAGTGTAAAAAATCAAAGTAATAAATTATCGGATGCAAGTAAAACCATTTCAAAAGCGATTGAAACTTCGGCAGAAAAATGTTCCACCATTTTAAATGAATCTGAAATGAAGAAGCAATGCTTGAATTGTGATTGCACAATAATGACTGAATATTTATTAAAAAGACTGGATTCTAGTGATATAAAAAATTTTACTTATGATAATTTTGCTAAATTAGAAAAAGAAGGATATTCAAATTTCATTATGAATAATGAGGACTTATCTAAATCTGCTACTCAAATTGAAAATAATGAAAGGAATTTAAAAGAACTTGGTGATAAAAATGAAATTTCACTCTTGTCTAATAATTTTTCAAACAATTGTAATGAAAGTTTAAACCAAAGTAATAACAATAAACCAATCAAAAATTTCTTTTATGAAAACAATAATAAAAGCAAAAAAGAACACTCGAATAGTATTTTGAGAAATAAAAATGGTTTTTTGCCTATTGCTAAAGAAAATATTTTAAGAGCGGTAAATGAATCCCTACAGATGAAGAAGAGGAAAATAAACGAAACTCATACAATAGAAAGTTATTTAGCATATCATGAATACTTACTGCTTCCAAAATTTAAAGTTGATAGACATTTCGATATGACCGCTTTCATTTATCTAATTATTTAAAAGGAGAAAATCAAGATGATTTTATTTTTAAACAGTTAAAAAATTTTGGAGATAGTGACGTTCCTCTTTGCGGTTTAATTTTTGTCGAAAAAAAATTCACAGCTAAAGTTTTATTTCATGTTTTAAATGTAAGTGGAATGCTATGATGATGACGACGATTTTATAAAAGTTTTTTTTAATGTTCATTAAGTACTCTTTTTGATTGCTTTTTAGGATTTAAAACAGGCCGATGAAGATTTTTCGTTCTTAAACGTACAATTTACAGTTGGTAAAGTTGTTGATGGCACTAAAGATCCAAAAGGAGCTGAAAATGAGCATAGAAAGCAAGAGCTAATGTTAAAAAGATTTCGAATCAGAGCATGTAATCTTCTGATAGGCACAAGCTTTTTAGAAGAAGGAATCGAGTTACCAAAATGCAATTTAGTTATTAGATTTGACGTTCCTAAACATTATAGGTCTTACATTAATACAAAAGAAAGGGCCAGAGCCGCTAATTCTTTATTCTGTCTTTTAGTCGGCCCTAATGAAAAAGATGATTTTGTACACGAATTGGCCAAATATTACGAAACGGAAGCTGTGCGTACTCATATAGAATTTTTTAAATATTTTAAAAAGATAATTAGTAAAACAGAAGTAATTTTTAATTAATGGCGTGTTAATTTTACTAGGTGCTTTTAGAAAAATGCGGTCATCTGGAACCGGAAGAAGAAGAGGAAAACGAAGCTGATTTGTATACACAATTAGTACAACCTTTTTGTCCACTTTTGAAACGAGAATGTCCCCATGTGGACTTATCAAGTGCTGTGATGTTACTTAATAGGTCGGTATTTTTTTAAATCACTCGGGTTTAAAATTTAAATATGCTCATTGGTTAAAATTTTAACGGCAATTAATTTTTAGATATTGTGCCAAACTACCGAGTGATACTTTTACTCGGCTCACACCAATATGCAATATAAAAACGGTGAAAGAATTTGAAAGAAAAATGTATGTTTGTACCATTCGTTTACCCATTAATTCTCCGATAAAACAGGAAATTGAGGTGGGTAAATTTTTATTATTATTATTGTTTCTTTATCTCTGCAATCTTCGCTCTGTTATTCTAATTTAAATTTATTAAATGCTTTCTGTGGCTGTTAAATTTTTAGGGTTGTCCTATGCCTACAAGAGTTTTAGCAAAACGATTTGCAGCTTTCCAATGCTGTCAATTGCTTCACTTATCCGGTGAATTGGATGATACCCTTCAACCAATAAGTAAAGAAAGTTTTTGGATTCGAGAAGAAGGACGATTAACAGTTACCAATGATGAAACGGAAGAAATTGTTTCCAGAGATAGTTTGGAACCGAGGCCTGGAACCACAAAGCGAAGGCAATACTATTACAAAAAGGTAAATTATAATGTTTTGACAATTAAAGGTTTGAATAACTTTCTAAAAAATATATATATGTAGATTGCAGATTCCCTAACGGATTGTCTTCCGATGGCAGATAAGCCATCTTTTTTATACGATATATCTATGGTGTTGAGTTGCCCTCTTCCCGAAGAACAAAACACGAGGGGTAGAAAAATTCATCCTCCGGAAAACTCATCTCAGGGCTTTGGGATTCTAACAAAGAAAAGAATTCCAAAAATCGGTCCCTTTCCTATTTTCACAAGATCTGGAGAAGTGCAAGTTAAATTAAAACTGGCGCAGACAACAGTTCAACTTACAGAAATTGAAATCAATAAAATTGTTGCATTTATTCATTATACTTTCACCAGCGTTTTAAGACTTCAGAAGTATCTCATGATGTTCGATCCGAATTCTTCGGAAAATTCTTATTTTATTGTTCCCACTAAAAAAGGTACAATAATTATTTTTCATTCTCTGCTTTAAATTTATTTAAAGTTACTTTAAAATGGTTTTTTTTAAAAAAAATTTTAGTTAAGGATTCGGATTCGGTAGAAGTAGATTGGGCATTTTTAGAATTAATATATGAAAAGAGAAATCAAGTTCCTACATTCATACCTGAAGAAAATCGGAAAAATTTTGTTTTTGAACCATCGAAATTTGAAGATGCGGTTGTGAGTCCATGGTATCGTAATCAAGATCAACCACAGTATTTGTATGTGGCCGAAATATGTACAAATTTGAACCCAAAATCTGCTTTTCCGGGAACGGAATATCAAACTTTTGAAGAATATTATTTGAAAAAATACAATATTGTCATTCAAAATCTTGATCAGGCTCTTTTAGATGTTGATCACACTTCAGCTCGTCTTAATTTTTTAACTCCTCGGTAGGTTTTCTCTGATCAAAGATAAATAATAAATGAAACTTAAAGTTGGAATAATTTTACTACGTCAAATTACTATATGTTTTAGGTATGTTAATAGAAAAGGCGTCGCTTTACCAACAACCAGCGAAGAAAAGAAAAGAGCTAAAAGGGAAAATTTAAAACAAAAACAAATTCTCATTCCGGAATTGTGCGATATTCATCCGTTTCCAGCCACTCTTTGGAGAAAAGCCGTTTGTTTACCCTGTATTTTGCATCGAATCAATGCTTTGCTTTTAGCCGATCAAGTTCGTATGATCGTTGCCGAAGAAATCGGAGTCGGTAGCATAGATTTAAACGAGGAGTTCAATGGGAATCCTTTTAATTTGGGATGGAGCTGGGCAGATGTATTAAAACAAACCAAAATTTTAAAAAAACAACGTGAAGAAACGCCAGAAGCCGTGAAAAGTATTGAAATGAAAGACGAGAGTGACCACGTAAACAAAAATAATAAAGACACTCAGAACTGTAATGATAATGATCGTGAAAATGACTCCGATTTAAAAGTTACATTAAACGATAGTTGTAATACAGAAATTGTTCTTGAAGAGAGTAACGAAAGTGATAAAGATGACAAACAATGGGTTGAAATTGGAACTTGGAGTAATGATATGGCAGATGATAAATTAGAAAACATTTACGATGATTCCCATGATCCGGATGAAATCGATGATTTGAGACTTCCGAAAAATTTAACGATGATAGAGGAAACAGATGGAAAAGAAATAAATGATTGGGATTCGAAAATATTTAGTGAAATGAAAGATTCGGTAATAAAAAAAAAAAATTTTCAAAATACCTGAAGACATGAAGAACATTTCAAGATGTTTGTTGATTATTAGAATTTTTTTTTTTTTTTTTGAGAATAAAATTGAAATTAGTTTGTTTTATTTTTAGGTTCGCTATTGTTCCCCTACTAGCTGGTTAGGAGAACCCAAAATGGATGATGAAGTTTTAGATGGCCTTTCCGAGAGTACGTACAGCGATGATTACTTTGATGGATATATGAACAGTGATACCGATTCTGAATGTGGGGGCCTAAAAATTGAATTCAAAGATGATAATGTCGCAGAAGCAGTCGAAAACAATCACACGGCTACTAATTTTGTAAGTTGTGGTAGTTTTGAATTTTAAATTTAAATTGTTTTTTACGATCCATTAATGTGTCAATTATTTACGAAATTAGATCAAAGAATTAAATGAAGTCGAAGAATCCGAACCTTGGTACTATGACGAATCTGAAAAATATTCAAAATACGTCGATGAATTTTACGCAAACGTTCAAAACCGAAAGGAAAAAATTATTAATAGTGATATGTATTATTCTGAAGAAAAATCTTTTGATTTTTCTCGTTCGCATTCGAAAAATTATCAGAAAACATATCCGGGATGCTGCAAAAACGATTCACAATCGGAAACAAGTGAGAATTTCGGTAGTGCTGATAATCGACTTCCGAGATTGAATGAAAATTTACAAAATGATTTTAAAAGTTTACCATATTTTAAGATCATAAGTGAAGTTTTGAAACGCGAAGAGAACAAACAAGCAAATCCTAAAAATAACGTTTTGGGATTTGAATTAAAAACTTTGCCTTCCAATTATAAACCTTTCGAGGAAATCGATGAAATTTGTCAAAAATTTAGTTTCGATGAACAACCTGATCTCAGTGGACATCCAGGTCCAAGTCCCAGTCTTATTTTGCAAGCTTTAACCATGTCTAACGCAAATGACGGTATCAACTTGGAAAGACTCGAAACCATTGGTGATTCTTTTTTAAAATATGCAATTACTACTTATTTGTATTGTATTTATGAAAATGTTCACGAAGGAAAGCTGAGTCATTTGAGATCTAAACAAGTAAGTGCGTTCTCTCTAATAAACAAATGTGTATAAGTATAAAATATTAATTAATAATAATAATAATAATAATAATAATAATCATCCTGAATAAATTTTATTCAGGTGAGTAACTTTAACTTATACAGATTAGGACGTAAAAAAATGTTGGGCGAAAGTATGGTGGCAACAAAATTTGAACCTCACGACAATTGGTTACCACCGTGTTATTACGTACCACGAGAACTCGAGCGAGCTCTTATTGAAGCTGGAGTTCCAGCAAGTCATTGGAACAGAGCTGATCTTCCCTCTTTGAAAAATTTAAGCAAAGAAGAAATATGTCAGTTAGTTAAAGAAAAGGGAGAAAAACTTGGTACCTTTTTTTTTTTATTCGAGTTTAAATATTACAAAGGAATATTTTTATGACACATAATTATGTTTACTTTAGGTATTGTAAATGCAGAAAAGAAACCGATAAACGTAACGATACCTTGCTTAAATTTAGAAAACATGCCTTGTTTTATTCCATATAATTTAATGACGCAGCACAGCATTCCGGATAAAAGTATTGCAGATTGCGTAGAAGCATTAATAGGAGCGTATTTAGTCGCATGCGGTCCTCGGGGAGCTCTTCTCTTTATGTCGTGGCTAGGAATAAAAGTATTACCGAAGGAAGAAAAATTTTTTGAATCCGAAAACGATCCGGACATAAAAAAGGGAGTGGGAGCTAGTCGACCAATTAAAGTTATGACGAATAATGGAGAAGTTTGGAGTCAAGTAAATTTTTTATTTTATTTATTATATTTAAAAAAAAATTTTAATGAAGGAAAAATTTATAATCTCATTATTATCTGTTAGATTTTATTTAACGGAAATGCTTAAAAACAAAAAAATTTTTTTTTTCTTTTAGGTAACTTTTGGAAAATTGAAATCTCCTAAACGACCTCTTATTTGTCATATACCTAATCCCGAGGGAGAATTGGAAAAATTGTTACGCGGTTTCGATATTTTCGAAGAGAGCATTAAATATCGTTTTCGCGACAGAAGTTACCTCCTTCAAGCACTTACTCACGCATCATACTACCCTAATAGATTGACTGATTGTTACCAACGTCTCGAATTTTTAGGCGATGCCGTTTTAGGTGATTTTCTATTAAATTAATTTATAGAGTTTTTTTTTTTTTTTTTTTTTTTTTTTTTTTTTTTTTTTTTTTTTTTTGATTGATTGATTAATTTCGATGATTTTTTTTTTTTTAAATAGATTATTTGATTACGAGACACCTGTACGAAGATTCAAGGCATCATTCCCCGGGCGCTCTTACGGATTTAAGATCGGCTTTGGTCAACAATACCATATTTGCCTCCTTGGCAGTCAGGCACGATTTTCATAAATATTTCAGGCATTTGTGTCCGAGTTTAAATGAGGTGGTCGATAGATTTGTAAGGTTCCAACAAGCAAACGGACACGCAATAAGCGAAGAAGTAAGCCGTCGTCTAATAATAATTTTTTTTTTTTTTTATTTCTTAAACGAACAACAATTTTATAAATTATAATTTTTTTTTTTCTCAATAGTTTTATTTAATTGAAGAGGAAGAATGCGAAGAAGCCGAAGATGTTGAAGTACCCAAAGCGTTAGGAGACGTTTTCGAATCTGTCGCTGGAGCAATTTTTTTGGATAGTGGAATGTCTTTAGACGCTGTTTGGAGAGTCTATTATAGAATAATGAAAAATGAAATAGGTACGTTAGGTCACATCTAATCAAGGTTTGATTTGTTTATATGCAATAGAATTTAAAATAAAAATAATTTTTTTATTACAGAATTATTTAGTACGAACGTACCGAAATCACCCATACGAGAACTTTTCGAACTCGAACCGGAAACTGCTCAATTTGGGTAATTATTATTATTATTATTATTTAAGAATATTTTGAAAGAATTATAATTTTTAATCAATATTATCATCGATGTACTCATCATTACAGCAAACCTGAAAAACTCGCCGATGGAAGAAGAGTACGAGTTTCGGTCGAAGTTTTTGGTAAAGGAATATTTAACGGGATAGGAAGGAATTACAGGATAGCAAAATGCACGGCTGCCAAATGCGCATTAAAACAACTCAAAAGAAAAGGTTTATTAGAACGTAGGAAATAATTTTAATTTAAATGTGATAATTATTTAAAAATTAAATAAGGGGGAAAAAAAAAAGTATATATAGTGAGATAAATTTTTTAAAAAAATTCAACCAAAGTTATTATATATATATTTAAGTACGTTAATTTTAAAAAAAAAATTGATTAAAATCATAATAAATTTTCCAATAGAAAAAAAAAAAAAAAAAGTGCTTTATGTTGTAATATTCAACGTTCGAAAAAATACAGTATTTAAAAATAATAATAATAATAGTAATAATAATTCAATAATGATTGTCTGTAAAAAAATAAATTTGTACATGTTTTAACAGTATTTTTTACTAATGTAGGATATATGAAAAGTTTTTAAAATAATTACTAATAAAAATGGAAGGATTATACCGTATAAAAAAAGGGAAAAAAATTTTCCCAGAACTATCTTCACAAAATGATTCCTTCAAATTTTTTTTTTTTTATCGGGATTTCAAATGTCACAAAATAAATTTTTCCCTGTTGAATATGAAAAAAAAAAAAAAAAGTAAAAAGTTTGTTGCCGTAGAATCAAGTATTAAAAAACAACAAATTTTTGAACATGAATAATATTTTATTTCATTTTTATAAATTTTTTTTTTGATAAAATATCGTGTATTGATTATTATTATTATTATTATTATTATTATTTTTTATTTTATTTTATGTAATTTTATTTTAAATTATTATTTGAATTGTTTTTTTTTTTTTTTTTTTTTTATCACATTAATATTTTTTAGTAAAATTTTATCAAAATTGTAAAAAATTAAAAACAAAAAGGGAATTTAAATTGTAATCAATTATAGAGTGAGAGTGACGTTTTTTTATTTTATTTTATTAAAATTTATTGTTTATAAAAATTATTATTATTATTATAATTATTACAAATTTTTAAATGAAATTTTTTTTAGTAATTAATGGCGCTTCATTTTTTTTTAAAAATTATTTTTAATGTCATTTATAAATTATTTTTTGTTATCATTTCATGTATTTTATACGTAATTAAAACGATTCGATCATTTATTCAAATTTTTTTTTTTTTTAAATTATTTATTAACGTTTAAAATAAAAAAAAAAAAATCGATAAAATAATAATTTCAAAAATTTTTCTTCTCGACTCTTTATAAAAAAAAATTATAATAATATAATAAAACGTAATATAATTATTTAACCTAATTATTTGTTTTGTTTTTTACACGCATTCATCTTTGACTAATTTTTTTTTGTTACGTGGTTTGTTGCGATAATAAATCCGGAGATTAAACCCTATTAATCTAATTACGTAATATTATTTAATCCTCCGGGTTTTTTTCATACGAATAATCTACTTAAATAAATTTTAATTAAAAATATCAAAAATAAAAAAATTGGTTGTTGTCAAAAAAAAAAAAAAAAAAAAAAAACAACAACAAAAGGATTGTAAATAAATTTTTTTTTTTTTACTTTTGACTTTTACCTTTTTTTTTCTTTAAATTCGTCCGTAAAATTTTGGTAATGTTTTATATACCTAAATTTTTATTTTAATTTTAAATAAATAAACTTATCGTAAAAATTTTTAGGTTTATTTAAAAATAAATAAAAATTTTTAAAAACAATTTGAACGATGACTATTAATAAATAACTTTCTATTAAAAAATTTTTTAATTTCTTCTTTTTTTTTTTTTTTAAGTTCGAAATTTTTTAAACAAAAAATTGTATGCGTTAACGTATTGTTTATTATTATCATTATTATTATTATTATTATTATTAAATTTTAAAAATATTTAAAAATCAACGTGTTGAAAATGATTGATGAAACGAAAAAAAAAAAAAAAAAAAACAAAAGTCATGGTTTTAATTTAAAAACTTTTACTTTTAAATTAAGGATATTATTTTTACCTTCTACGAATATAAACAAAATTATTATTATTATTATTATTTAAAATGTTAAAAATAGAAAAAATGGATGAAAAAGTTGTTGTTTTACTTATTAAATTATTACTCACAATAGGGAAAAAGTAAATTTTTGTTTATAAAGGTCAAAAAACTTTTTTATTTTAAAAAATTATTCTTTTTGTTGTTGCAAAATGGCTTCTTTTTAGGTTTTCTTAGTTTGTTATGTTTTATATAAACTAAATGAAAATTATAAATATTTCTTTAAAATACAGTTTTTTATGGATACATGACTAAAATCAAAAAATTCAACAAGAAAGTTTTTAACCAATTTTCAAATAAAAACATTAAAAGAAATTTTTTTTTTTTTTGATCAGGTCAACAACATCCTTGAATTTTGTTTTTTTTTTTTTTTTTTTTTTTTTTCCTTTTAATACAATTTTAACCTTCATTTTTCTCTTTTTTTTTTCTTTAAATTAACACTAATTAATTTTTCTTTTTTTTGCCCTTTTTAAAAGTCAGAAGTATGTTAAATTTTTTTTTTGGTTGTGTTCCCCTTTTTGTTAAATTTTCCTTTCCCAACATTAAATAATTTAATTTTTTTAAAAACTTTTTTTTGGTAAAAGTAAAAAAAGGAAAAAAGGGTCGGCCATTTTAAAAGAAAAAAAAAAAAAACCGGGATTAAAAAACGTTTGAAAAATTTTTACGATCAAGTATTAGGGGGTTATAAAATTGAAAGAAAAAAAAAAAAAAAAAAAAAAAAAACGTTTGCGGATTATGATAAATAACAATAAAATTTGACGTCATGAGATTTTTAATCGAATTTAATTATCATTATTGATAATTTAAACCTTTTAATTATCTATAATTAAATATTTAACAACAACGACATGATCTGTCCCTTAAAAAAAAAAAAAAAAAAAAAAAATTAAAGAGAGGATTTTAATTATTTAAATAATAATAAATAAAATTCCACAATAAAATTATTTAAAACTTGAAAAAAAAAAAAAAAAAAAATTTACTATATTGAAAAGAAGAGACGAATAAAACCAGTTTTTAGGCACTGTGAGAAAGTTAAGAAATTAAAATTTAAAAAAAAAAAAAAAAAAAATTACTGAATTTTTATACGGCCATCTTTAAATTTTCTTTTTTCTTATTGGTTTTTTAGAAATCAATTTAAAAAAAAAAAACAAAACAAATGAAATCTTTAAATATTATCTTATTGTTTTTATTAAAAATAAAATAGAAAATTTTACAATGAAAGTAATAATAAATAATTAAAAAATAAAAAATGAACAAGTAAAAAAAAAAGTGAATTCACCATTATTTGTCCCTGACATAAACATTTTCAAACTTTTTCCTTTTTTTTTTTTATTCATAATGAATCATTTTTTAAATTCTTTTCACGTTAATGTTATCTAGTAAGGTTTCAAAGAGTTAATCATTTAATATACCTGAAAATCTTATCTAATCTTTTACTAAAATAAAACTTTGGATTATTTTTCATTCCTAATAAAAATTTAAAAAATTTGCACGATTTGTAATTTTTTTAATTTTAAACCTTTTTTATTTTATTACAACCTTTTATACAAAGTACTTTGCTTACTTTGTTCATCTCATTACAACGTGTTAATAGCAAGAAAAAAACATTTTTTTAAAATAAAATTCTATTTCTGTAAAAGATACTTTCATTTTTGAAAATAACGGTTTTTTTTTTTTTTTTTTTTTTTTGAAAATAGAATTTTATTTAACGGTTAGTAGTAAAATGATTTTTTTTTTTCAAGGGGATATTATCGACTATAATTTAATGCACCGTTACATTACGTGTTTTATTTCGACCTTGATTATTTATATAAAGTTTCCAATTTTTATAAATAAATTAAAAATTTTGAATTAAAAAAAAAAAAAAAAAAAATTTTTTAAGCGTTTAAAATTTTCGAAAATTTTCTTCTGCTGATAGTAACGGCCAATAAACAATCCTTAGTTTTTTTTTTTTTATCGTTTAACTTATTTTAAAATAAAAAAAAAAAAAAAAGTATAATAGAATAAGTTGGTGAAACTTTATTAGTTTACATAAAAGAAAATTAATAAATATTTTAAATTGTTTTTAATAAGGCTATAAAAAAAAGGCTTATTTAAAAAAGAAACAACTTTTCAAAAGTGAAATCAAACTATTGCATCAATATTGTACAATCTTTTTTTTGATTGGTGAAATCTAACGATTTGACAATCCCCGCCATAAATATCGTCTGCTAGTGAACGTGTAATGCAATGTAAACTTTTAGTTGTTGTTAATTTTTAGTCGTGCTCGCGAGATTGATGCTGGGTTTTGAGTGTTGATAAAATACATTGAATATGATGAATGCAAATATGGAAACTGTAAATTATTTAAAAAAATACGGTCAGGAACATTTATTGCAATTTTGGGATGAGCTTAACGACGAAGAAAAAAAAATTTTACTCAAAGATATCAACGATGCAGATTTAGAACGAACCGTTCAGTATTTTCAAAGGGTTGTGAACGATGATGATAACGACAAAAAAAAATGTACGAATATGGAACCGGTATCGTCTGATTGTTCTGCATCTTTAAAAAAGTGTCGGGAAACTTCAGAGGTAGACAATTTTGAAGAAATCGGTTTGAAAAGTATTTCTGATGGTCACGTCGGTGTTTTACTTTTAGCTGGAGGACAAGGAACTAGACTTGGAAGTACCGATCCGAAAGGTATGTTTGACATTGGTCTCCCATCTAAAAAATCATTATTTCAACTCCAAGCAGAGAGAATATTCAAACTTCAAAGTCTTGCAAAGGAAAAATTTTCAAAAACATGCATCATACCTTGGTACATAATGACAAGTGCGGCAACAAAAACAAAAACCAAAATTTTTTTCGAAGAAAATGATTATTTCGGATTAAATAAGGAAAATGTATTTATGTTTGAACAAGGAATGTTACCATGTTTTGATTTCAATGGGAAAATAATACTTGAAAAAAAGTATAAAATTGCAAAATCACCCGATGGTAATGGTGGCTTATATAAAGCTTTAAAAGAAAAAAATGTACTAGAAGACATGAGTAAAAAAAATGTAAAATACTTACATGTTTATTGTGTTGATAACATACTTGTCAAAGTAGCAGATCCAATTTTTATCGGGTACTGTGCGAGTAAAAATGCAGAATGTGCTGCCAAAGTGGTTGAAAAGGTATCACCCACTGAACCGATAGGGGTTGTTTGTAAAGTTGATGGAAAACTTCAAGTTGTGGAATATAGTGAAATTTCATCGAATGATGCTGAAAAA